GCATCATGTTGGGTAAAATCTTGTAGTGGTCTGTCGATGGCGTGGCATGATGACGGGAATTGACTGAGAAACGTGTTCAGGTTAATGCATGCGTTCTTCTTGGACGGGAACCCTGAGATGTTCCACGCCAGCGTTTGAAGACTATAGCCAAATGTCGCGCAGTCTTGCAGTCAGTGATACCGTGGCATTCGGTTTCTTTCGTCTAGCTGTTAATTCGCATTTCATTCTAATTAGTTTATTGTGGTTCTTCCTTGGTTCCGTTTTCTTTAAAAACTATTTTCTTTCGCCTCGTTTTCTTGTTCTTGTTTGTTTTTGTTATTTTGGTAATGTTAGTCGCGGCAACTGGATCCACCTCACTTTGATGCCTGTATCTTGTTTGTTTAATCGAACAGAACGGAATGCCTGGTTTTACAATCAGTTTTATCACAATATAAGATGCCTGCTACTGAATACGTCTGGCGGTCTAGCGGCCATTGGCCCTCAGCTGTGTTCAGTGCGCAATTATTCAACCCTCATGTCAGCGCAATTCTATGTTCATTCGGAACATGCCATGCACGCGTAGCGTCGGAACATGCAAGTGTGTGATCGGAATCCACATACTTCAAATTGAGCAATAGTTTTGATCAAGGCCTGTATCGGTAATTATACGCAATGTGATCAACTTATGTCTATGGCTGGTCCGAGGCTGATGGGCGCTGTCACCCTTCAGCTGGTACTGTGCCGAAAGTTAATGCTCTCCAGGAATAAGCGGACATCTTCGCACGGACGTAGCAACTGCTCAGCGTTACAATTACGAAAGCCTACATCGTGTTGGCCCACCATTAGCAGTTTATCATTGGACAGTTTTCCAACTTTGGCGCTGAGATTGCTAGCCAGCACTACAATATCCATAACTCTGCTGTAACGAAAGAGCTCCGTCACTGGGTAATAGAATTCATCTTTCACCGAATTGACGCTGCAATCTGTGGGTGCCCAGACCACAATGGCAAACAGGCACCGTTTGCCTACACGCGACTTCAAAGCCTGAATCGTGCCAGCCAGTCTGAAGATGCACATCCGGCTGTTGATTGCGGTCCAGTCTGTTAGCGCTGCTTCAGTCCGTGAACTTAGATCAATGCCTGCATCAGCTTGACCAGTATTTGTAGCTGCGTTATCTCCGGACAAAGCACTGGGAACGCGCCGCCGGTGTCGCTTCTGAGGGGTCGCAGTATAAACAGAGTGCTCCACTCAGATGGAATTGGGTACTGCCCGCCCGAAAACAGTTCACAACAACGACGCGTTTCGATGTCATTTCATCTCATCAGGCGGAGATAACAGGCTTCGAACCCGCGACCATTGGAATAGTAGGCGATTCCATCTGCTTTGACTACGGTCCCAGTGATCGCAGTGACTAAGGTTCACTTCAATGTGAGCCGCGGTCCACTTTGAGATTGCGCGTCGCAATCCAATCACACAACTTGCAGTCCAAAATTGACCCTCCAATTAGTCAGTTACCGTTGTGCCAGGCGTTGCCCGCCGTGACCCGGTAGCCTAAGGGGTAGAGGTCTCGGCTACTATTCCAATGGTCGTGGTTTCGAAGCCTGCTATCTCCACCTGATGAGATGAAATGACATCGAAACGCGTCCTGGTTGTACAGGGTTTTCGGGCGGGCAGTACCCAATTCCATCTGCTTTGACTACGGTCCCAGTGATTGCAGAGACTAAGGTTCACTTCAGTGTGAGCCGCGGTCCACTTTGAGATTGCGCGTCGCAATCCAATCACACAACGTGCAGTCCAAAATTGACCCTCCAATTAGGGTGCTCCACTATTACGTGCTAATATTTTATAAACTTCAGATATCCATCCATAGGGCCTCTAATGTTTGGGCAAAGGTCCTGTCTTGGCCGATCTGCAACAGAGTGCGCACATTGAGCCAAGCCAGTCTTTGCGAGGACCGAGGGATCCAAATGGAAACGGATGAACTGACGTTGTCCGCTTGGTTGAACATGGACTTGTCGACTGGACCGGAGGAGCGCCATGCAGTTGCTTGTGAGTCTAGCCAACCGTTCGGAAGTTGATAACTGGATATATCTAGGTGAATTCGATAGGGTACGATATAATTAAAGAAGGGCAATAGGGGAAATATGGAGGCGGGAAGGCATGCGAAGTATCATCCTCCTTTAATTACTCTGTATGTATGTATGTAATCTCAACACTTAAGCAACTAGACACAGCCAACAAAAACCCTGGATATCAGCGGATAAGAGGAAGTCATACTCATCGTGGCATAGTAGTTGAAGATGAGCAACACACTTCAGCTAATAGGCCGCAGGAAGAAAGAAAAATCTAGACAAAAAGCAGAACAAAACCTTTTTAGTTTGTTTGTCACACGCCGATTTTTCTCTTTTGTCATTTTCAATGTTTGAAGTATTGAACATGTGAATCAATACAATTCTGTACCCAATTTTTCCACTGATTCCGGTTGCGGGTCATGTCCTCAAGTGTGTTAAGCCATTGGCAGTCCTCATCTTTGGGTCCCTATCTTGGAAGACGTACGGATCCAACAGCGGCTAGACACTACGTCAACGAATTCATGTGCTGTCGCCATGTAGAAGGCTGACCACCACGCAGTCGCCTTTAGCCAGATCCTTGACGAGCGAATAGAGCGCGATGCGGTAGGCGTTCAGGTGCCACGCGTAGGATGTGACCGAGTCGTCTCAAATGGCGCACCAAAACCAGTTTGTTGAACGGAATACTCGCATTCCCCAAGGTACGACGTCGAACCTCATTACTATTAACTCGATGTTACCACCAAACACGAGCATTCCTCCTTAAGCAACCGTTCTCGAAGGCAGAAAAACGACGCATGTCTTCCACGCGAATCGGTCAGGACTCGCTCCCATACAACAACACTGAACGAATAGATTCGCTGTAAACGCTGCCCTTTAGCGAGAACGAGACGTTGCGACGACTCCACAAGTACCTCAGATTGGCAAATGCTCATCGAGCTTTAGCGATACGAAGGAAAACGTCTTTGTTGATAGTGCAGTCAGCAGAAACACAGCTCCCAAGGTAGACGAACCTATTTACCTGTTCAAGTTGTGCACCTTCGAGAGTGAGCACGGAAGCAGGTGAAAGCCCATCCTTGAGCAGTATTTTACACTTTGATGGGGCGAAACTCATACGATACTTAGATGCTTCAACCGCCAAACGATCCGGAGTGAGTTGCATTCTTTGAAGATCATCACTCTGTTTGCTGCAGCAGATAGGGTGCCGTTGATTATCCTGTGCTGCGTACTGTCAGGTTTCGCAAGCCTGGACCGGAGAACAATGTGGGTTCAAAGACGCCCCTGGCTTAGAAAGCTTGCCACAATGCGGTGGTATCTTGGCAGTGTGGTACTGAGTCCGTTTTATAATATGAGGGACCACCCTCACACACCAAGATCCCATGGTTGGGTCTGTACTGCGCATACACGCTCACCGATACCTGCGACGTGCGTTGTTTGCGCGCGTGGAGTGTAGTTGAAAGTAGAAAGGACGCCAAGCGATAATTTGGTCAAGAAAAATAAAAACCGTCATCTCAAACCTAGCATCGGTTGGTGCACTCCGACCGCCATACAGAGGTCCGAAGGGCGATGAATACGTTTGATTGGCTGCACTTTTTGGCATGACGAATTTATTTCTCTCGCCCGTTTTGTCCTTTCTCTTCAACTACCATCTCACCTTTCTTATAAAGTATTATACTTTGCCTTTTTTATTTCATACTGCTTAGTATTTCGCTTCTCTCCATTTATCTCACCTCTTTGCACTGCGAAACAACAGCTGAGGTGCGTTTCTTACCCTCAGCTAACGTGCAATGGTGATTCCCCCACCCCCCCAACATGCATGGCCAGGACGTTGAATTAGTCTGGCGTTTACCCATTGACCAATCTAGTATAAGTGAGTTTGAAGGTACAGCAAACGCTACCCGGCATAACTCAGTGGATTTTCGTGTCACGAAAACCATCGTACCACACGGTAAAGTCCACTCTCGTCGCGATGGCATCTCACAACCTCCTGTCTGAAGGTAACTCCTCACTTTCTAAAGTAGTTTTAATGTGACGAACAGGTTCGAATCCGCGTAGGGATGGGTGTCCTCCCGATATATTCAGCCTGCGCGCGACGTGGTGGTCGTGCGACAGCGAAGCACCGTTACAGCGTACAGCCGACATATCATTATTATTTATTTAATGTGACGAACGGATCAGTCATATTCATTTCGTGCTAGCGGTGACGGATAGTTGATTAGTCCACGTATGTTGTTTCGTTTCAACAGAACTCGTGCACGTTTAATTTTCCGTAGCGGAAAGCATGACATCAACGTTCTAAGCGGGTTCAAATGATTTAGCAAGTGATGGTGTCACAGTCAGCTGGCTGAGTAGCTCTTCTAAATACCTTCAGCGCTTTAGTGCACTTAATTGGTATTGGACAGAGTGGAATGCATACGGTATCATGTGATCCGCATCGTCATTTACCGTAAGATATTTAGCATGCTGCAGTAGGTGAGTTGCTTGCACACTAACGTTCTGTCTACTGTCGTCATCTACCAGTCAGTCTATCAGGCGGTTATAGCCTTCCATAGCCGTTGTTTATTCATTGACTTTAGAGTCAACTTAGTTGTGTCCGTCGCATTTCGATGGTGGGATTATGGTTGTAAACGATTTGCTCGAAACTTTAGGGCTTTGGTAGCTGCTACTAAGTTAACTCGCGTTTCTCATCAACCTTTCGCTTTATCGACGTCATCGTCTCCAATTTATTTATAAGTACTTACCTCATCTCACTTGCTTTACCATTAATCTTATACCTTTCTGTGTAACTTTTGGTTAAACCGTTCGCTATCTTAAATTTTCCTCACCAGACATCTCTTAGTTGACATTTTCTATTCACAGTTTTTCCGTTGTTATCACATTTTGTGCAAGTTTCACATTTCTGGTTCGTATGCTCGTCCCATTTTGTCACTTACTTATTTGTTTCATTTCCAGACTTCCATCTTTCTTGTGGTGACTGCATGGGGACCCTCAAAGATCAGATTGATTCTTGTTTGACCGGTCTTAAGCATTGCACCGAGCTCCCCCAAATTCTACTCCGTGTGTTACACCATCCTAATTTGACGTCCAATCTCGATCCTTCAATTTCGTATTTGGAATCCGATACACTTCAGTCCTCCGATTTGTATCACGTACTTTATCGCCTTTTCAAAGTATGTGGCGATGAACAAAGCCAATTAACTTACGACGTTTTTGCTCAATGTGCTGTTCGTATTTCCCAGCCAGATCTGGTTTTCCGGTTTCTTTGCGACCGCTTGGACTGCGAGAGAGAGGCGGATCATTTGGAAGTCATTATCCAACATCTTGAGCTGTTTTTGTTTGAGTTTCGTCGGCTACCCGATGTTTTATCCGAATGGTGCTCTGCTTTTGAAGACATTTTATTTTATGAGAAGCTGGTGCGTGTATTGACCTCACTCCCCACTCGAGCTGCGAACCGCTTGGGCGCATCAAAGAAGTCAAGACTTTTTGATCGAAAACTGTTCGTGAGCATCATCTTATCTTCGTTTGTGTTTGATGCCCATACCGAAAGCCGGTGGAGTTTGTACGGTTTAATTGTCAGTCAGCTTGTTCTTACAGGCTATTCGTCTGAGGTGGCATCTTTCATTCTGTCAGATATAGAAAAGGATCAGTGTTCCGGCCAGATACCGTGCTCTACATGGTCTCATATCGTCCCCCGCATAAAGGAGAGAAGTTTGGAAATGTTTTTGCTACCTGTCCTTCGCTTCAGCTCTCATCCGCATATAGTCGCTGCTCTTCTGCCACGGGAACCACTCTCCTCCCCTACCTCTGCCTATATGAGGCTCTTCAGACGCCTACTTTTTGTCCGTTATTTTCCTCAGGGCCAGATAGTGCGTAATATTTTCGGAGCGCTTGCCGAACTTGCCAATTCTTTTGAGGAAATGGAAGCTCGAGACACTGTGTTTCACATTGTTAACGAACATCTGGGGTTTCCTGCACTTCGTTTGTGGGCCGATGCCACAGCTATTCAAGCGACATCTGTGGAACAGCGGATCTACAACTCGCAAGCATTAGCTTCTTGGTTGTCAGATTTCTATGTACCTCTCTCTTCAGCCCTCTCTTTCAAAGTATCTAATTCCCTGCTACTTCCAGATGTACTTTCGGGAATCAGCAATCACTTGGCCAGTCCTAGGCAAGAGGTTCGGCTTATCGGGATGGCAGTTGGAGAGTGGATTGTCGGTTTCGTTGATTTGGCCTGTGACTCCGCCAGTCGCGATACACTGAAGTTCACTTACGAGGAGACGGATGTTGTTCAGCAACTTAGACCGTTTTTTTCACCAATTGCTCCCTTTACTCCTCTAAAATTACAGGATCCTCAAGTGACATCGGAAGTAGGTAGGTGCTAAAACAAAAATTAGTTGAGTTTTTCAAAGTACTTCAACTTCTAACCAATAGTTATATGAACTACTTCTTTGTCTCTCTCTCCGGAACCATCCATCGCCTTGTAACATTGTCAGCCTTGCATTAAAAATACCGTTTTCACCACATTGTTTACCCGTGTGGGATAGGATTTGAAGCAGCAATTCCTGTTAGTCCAATTTATTTGACGTATCCGTCATATAAGCACGGAAGTGCTGGAGGTCTTACTCGGTAAAAAAAAGGTAGCGATAACCGCATCAGAAATATGCCGTTGCGACTCACGAGACCATTATCAGTCGTGCGCTGGTTAAGGTTACTGCAACGTCGCCCACATCTACGTTCATCTTGCTAGGTAACTCTGTCGAAGATGTGTTTAATCAAAAAGCAGAAGCGAATGTGAGGTTAGCGAAAAAGCGAGTAAAATTTATCGGGTTACTTTTTCAGAAGAACTTGTAACTTTGAACAATTTATGATGACTTGTGCACGTACTAAATTGTCTCTCTGACTGCATACCGAAGACTGCTTCCTTTTTTGGATGAGGCGGGGTTCAATAAGTGCAAAGTTGATTCGGTTGTGCAAACTGAACTACTTGTTGACTAAATGATGTTCTGTGGCTTCGCTTTATCTTCCACGCTGGAATGCACTCGATCCGCCTCGTGTTCGTCTCGAAACATTACGGGACATTGCTCGCAGCTGGCACCGTTATCTCATCTGTTTTCATTTCAATCGGATTGCCTATTTGAAGGACAAATGTTGACTGATCTGTGATGTACGTGAGATTATGTGATGTAAGACATCAAAGGTTTTAAGAGAAATGCTTCCTCCATGCCGTCTTCTCTTCCCACAGTGGCCAGCAGTTTGAGTCCGTTCGATCTTGGCTACTTGCAGATGCGTTAGTCCTGATCGCTGGGACATCTGGGTCTTTCTCTACTTATTTCTCATTTCACAGGTCTTTCTGGCTGTATGGTAGCAATCTATGCTTGGCGGCATCCGGTTTCGGATTTGCCTGTCACCGTGGCCAGCCACAGGATGCCTGCAACTACAGAGAGACCATGAGTAGCTTGTGCTGCACCACCCACAACTCCAACCACACATCCCATATCCAGTGTAAACCCGAAGGACTGGGAGGCATGTGTATGAGAGCCACATTTCATCAACGGAGCCGGCCCACGCTCCTCCACAGGTAAACACACGCACGCTGTATTTGGGAATCAAACGCATACAAAACGGTGGCTGGACTGTAGTCCGCTCCACACTGAGTGCATGGAACCGCTCTTTGGGCCTAGCACGATCACAAGGACCGTGTACCCTTTCCCCTCCAGCAACGACCAACTATCTCCTAGAGCCAGTATGAACGATGTAGTGGGTAATAGACAGGTAGGCACCTTGTCAACATACACATCAAGCACAACCACACCGGGGATGTCAAACAACATTTACTCACTTAAAATGGCATTATCAAATAAAATATCTGTTCAAGAATACGACTATGCAGACATAACTCTTCCCTAAATTAGCATGTGAAGTATGTTGGTTAGCAACGAATCAGCGATAAGTAAAAAATGTCCAGAAGTGACTCAGAAAATGCTACAAACGCAATAAGGTTAATGAAGATAAGCACAATTTCCGTAAGCAATGTGGAAATGTAATAGATTATTACAGTAGGCAGAACAAATCAAATGAAGTGGAATGAAATTTATCCAGCTTAAAAAGACCTAGTTTAAATGTAAATTGGTTTAGCCCAACTGCGGTGTAGTAGCATCATGAATGCAACATCAGCCTCAGGTACTGGCGTACTGCTTTTTTGGTGGTGGTGGTGTTGGAGAGTGTAAATTAATCAGATCGGAATATTGGTAGCTATATTCATGGAACAGATACAAATGCGCCATTGCTACCTCTGCCGCTCCTTGTCGGATGGGTTTTATACTTTTTGTCGTTCAGATCTCGTAGTCCCTATCCGATTATGCTACACGTAATTGCTTAAGATCATCAATCGATTCCCTCATGCTTTTCTGCAGCATCCGTCGGGCTGGTCACCTCGCGATTCCCATGAGCTACCATGATCTGGGGGTGTGTGGTTAGTGTTCATCTAAAGGGTATGGTCTATTTAGCATATCTGTCTTCTCATTTCTCCGAAAAATCCAGACCAACTGACAGACTTCCACTTTGATCAGTTGGCACTCCCACTAGATATGACCGACCTTTCCTAAGCGCTGACAATTGAGGGTATATTCGTCAGTACGAACTGTCTGCCTCTCTAAACCACAGCTTAATACTGGCGGTACCGCATTGTTGTCCATCCTACCCTTGACGAATAAGCTGTCATTTTGACACTTTCATACATGATTGAAAATGGTGTGGATGTTGGTGATAGAATTTTGGGCGCATCTGTCCATTAATACAGCAATATTTTGCATTGTAAACGCGTTGTAGACATGTTGGAGTTCGCAGCACTTTTCATCTACAAGTGTCTGGTCCACTATTGTTAGTGCATTCCATAGTTGTCTGTTGTTCATCTGATAAGTCCGTATGAGTTTGGGTGGCCAGTCGTACATAATCAATGCGATCGCGAAGTTGAAGCCACGAATGGATCTAGGCCAATCCTGGCGCTTCGCTTTTGTCCTAAGGAACTCAGGAGGCAGCTATCTCTAGATTCTTACTCTGCCTCTAGAGCCGCAGTGAAGATCGGCATAGGGCGTTGTTTCCCTCACACGCCCTTCACTAATACACAATACTACTACGATCAACAGCATCGAAGGCGATTTCCCCTACATCACGTTCGTTTGGTGCTATTGCGTCTTATCAGCCGTTTTCTCTTGTTTAAGAACGATACTATGTCACTCCCTTGCTGGCGTTTAAATTTTAGCTTTTAGAACTTTCTTTAATCGACATTCAGACACGTACTTCTGGTAATCGTTGCGTGTTTACGCGCAAGTATTCTGCTTATCCTTACTTTACTTCTTTTTGCTTATTATCCACTTTGTGAACTTTAGTTACGCCTTGCTACTTCTGCTTTGAGAAGCTCGTGCTACGCAGCTTTGGTGTCGCCCTCTTCGTTGCCATTAAAATTATCATTAACACATTCTGTTATTGACGAAAACCTACCATTCACACTGGGCCGCTGCATTTCCGACTGGCAGTGGGTTATCCAGCGATATTCTCCCGGATTTCTTCAGGCGCATATGTCACAGAACGGGGGATTCTGATATTTTTGTCTTACTATGTGTCTTAAATTGCTCTGCCAACTTGCACATGAATGTCGACAAACCCGGTTGCATGGTGTCCTCCGTGTGCCCGTCTTCTATCACTATCCATTGGCCAAATAGTTCACACGTCTGGATTGTAATCCAAAGGTCACTGATTCGAGCCTGCGTAGATATGGACCACCTTGCATTACCTCTATCCCGTACGCGACTACATGTGATCTCTTGGCCGCGCGGTTTCTGTATGTCGTAGCGGCGTATTGCTGACATCCTTCTTTCTACCTCCGTTTGCTCGCTTACGCAGCCTGTGCGCACTTCTCGATAACTGAAATGCGCCACTAACTACCGGTCTTACTTGCACTTCTTCTTTGATCCCGGCCGTGTACCCTTGCTAAACATTTTCCCTCAGTTTAACTAGTTGATTTAAGCAACTCATCTTACAAGGATTTTCGAATCTTTCCCAACTTTTAGCTCACTTTTGGAGTTACTTGAGGAGCTTGTCTGCTTGACTCAGGACAGTTTCTTCTTGTGTTGATATGCGCGGCTCATTTCCTTAATTTTTGAACTAAGAAGGAACTAAGAGCAGTAATCTCCACGCCCATTTATTGTCTTTATATTCTCGAATTTCATCCAAATAAATTTCATTACACTTCAATTTTCACCGCCATTCTAGATCAGCTGATAGTGCACGTAATCTCTAGCTTATACTCCATTCTTTTTCGTACTTATATTCACAACCCATTCGAAATGTTGTGTGCCTCATTCCATTGTTTTATTTTCCTTCCTCCAGAATGCGACCACCAGACGGTGACTACTTCTGCTGCGACTCAGGATCATCCGGATGTTTTAGATAGCGATGATGATCCGGAACCCAGTAATCCCCCTGAGGCGACTCTGCCTCCGTTGCCACAACGTCCCGGACAGAAAAAGCAGCTCTCTTCATTCACCAATACATCTGAGCGGCGACCCCGTTATTTGCGTGAGTGTCTGGACGGGATGTTGCTTACAAAACCCGAAGACAATCAAATCAGTGTCGCTTGTTTTGAAGCTGCTGCTGATCTGATTTACGCTCATCCCCAGGGGGCCCGAGAACTAGCAACAGAGTTGGCTCATGTGTTCGTTCATTTAGAACCACCTGCTTGCCCGGATGAGGGACAACTAGCTACAAAACGTCACGCTGCTTTGGTGGCCTTGGGTGTCGTCGCTCCTAAACAATGTGCTCGATATCTGACCAACGAATTCTGCCAGCCAAACTGTTCTCTGGGTCAACGGCAAAATATTATCGCAGCCATTACAGACATCGCATGCACCTTGTCCACAACAGAGATTTCAGCCTCTCCAAAAGTACACGATCCACCGCCCCAGGTGGTTTCTGTTAAGACCGACCCCAAAACTCGTCGGTTTTGTAGCAAGCCCGCGGCTCCAACACAGACTGTGAACAGTTTCATTACAGTGGCTGGCGAGTTTTTCTTTCCTCTTCTGCGAAGCATTCCTCAGCTCTTCTGTTCTTCTCAAGCTGATGGTGTGTTTGCTCATCAAGATGCTAGTCTGTTGAGTAATTTGATAGCTTCCTTAGCTACTGTATATGCGTGTGCTCAGTTCGCTCCTGTTCAGCTTCGGATGGCCACCGAACTCATGGAAATTTTGCCCTCACTGTATAAACATTCTGAACCTGCTGTTCGACGGGCTGTGCTAATAGCAGTCGGTACCGTCATCACAACGACCCCATCCTCTATACTCTCATCCAACCCACAGCTGTTTATTGGCGCGCCCCATATAGAGGAGACTAGCCTGTCACTTTACGTGCGGTCCCAGGCCTCTCCTCCCTCTTTAGTTTCTTGGTTGAAACGCTGCGCAACATTAGAGACTGATTCGGAATGTCAGCTACTTGCTTCGGTTGGGCTGTCTTCCTTGGTTGAACGAGTCCAAAGTTTAGCTGATCTGCGATAAAACGCCTGTGCTGTACATAGCCTTGTTTTGGCTTTACCTGTAAATAGTTTCATGAAATACAACTCTGTTGAGTCACTTTGTTTTATTCGGATTCCCTTCAACCATGTGTGAGTTGAACCGCTTGATGATTGATATGAACGAGCGCGAGTTTCCCCGTTTTTGTGACATTCGTGTTTTCATTGATCCTCCAGACAGCGCCTCCCAGACCCTCTTCCAAGTACCTAACGTTTGCATTATCGTTCAAAGATGCAAATTCTACAAGTGACCGTGGAATATGATTCCATGCGCCCGTGATTTCGCCATGGAGGGCTCATTCTAATTAATCATAAATCATGGCAGATAGGTCTCTGTTATCGCTCTCTTAAGTCACAGTGATCTCTGAGTCAACCGCTGTCGAGTGTCTTCCCAGTAAATTTTTCACCTGTTACATTCTCCGGAGCAGGACTTTGGAAAACCGGAACTCATGCTCCACTTACGATTGTGTGTTCTATGAGTACCACATTCTCATTAATCAGTGTCTCTTTTGTTTTTTTCTCCCCTTCCCCTTACTGTCTGCACCTATCACGCTCTAGTTAGTCCTTAAAGGCGTCTGTAGTGCGCCGGTTCTTAGCACCGATGTTTGTTGCCACGCAGTCACAAGCAGTTGCTTGCAGAGTAGTAATACTGCTAGACTGTCCGTATATGCACGTGCTGGATCCGGCGACATGTGTTTTGCAAGCCGTACAGTTGAACGACTCACCAACCGGCCGACCCACCGTCAACGGATTTCTGATTTAAAAATCCCTTTTCCGAACCTAGGCTTTCATCCCCCACGAGGTTTTCTGCGTTGGTGTTCCATATTTGATTGATCTACAGGTAGTGCTCTTTCACAGCCTGTACCTACACTCGCCTTGCATACTAGAAATTACCGTCGTAGTCGTTTGCTTAGATTTCCATCTTTCCGCTTCTGTCATCGGCGTTGTGCGAACCATGCCATACAGGAGGCATTTCACCAAACTGGATCTCATTAAATGAACGTTTACGCACTATTACCGACCCGTATTCTAAAGGATCAGAAGCCTGTTTGGTAATCCCGGGGCCCGGGCGACTTTCGCAGTATCCTTAGCTCACGCGCGACCGTTGGTGGTTGCGTGTCAGCAAGGCGTCGGTGCTACGTACCGGCGTACTAGTGATACCTTTATTTGGAAGCTACACAGCTGGATTTAAAACAGGCCATCTGGTCTTCGTTGTTTCCGTGTGTGTTCCCATTACCAGTAGCCTCTTGTGCATCAAAACGCGGTACATCGTCGGTTTTCACTTTTCATCTGCCTAACCGGAACTTGAATTTATTATCGTTACCGGTGACACGGATACTAGTGCCACAAATCTGGTTACTTCTTACTTGGTACCAATAACGCTTATTTTGACCATCATTTTCCCTCGCACTCCTATGAACCGCCACACAATCTTTCACATCACACTGCTTGTCGTTCATTGAACGAAAGCTTCTTTGGCATCAATCTACCATTTTATCACTAGGTACGCCAAACACACTTGAATGAAGATTGACCATTTAGCAGAGCTAACTACTCAGATTCAAAATGCGTGTTCCTCCGTACATACAGCTTCCCTTTCTTCTCACCAGATGGAAGCACGCAGCTAAAGTCGACTTTCGTCTCTCTTGTATTCGCAACCCGTAAGACAGATGCATCTTACTGCGCCAATGCTAGGAGTTTCACTTTTAACACGCCGCCAGTCCGCTAACTTGACGACAGCCCAATTGTTTTAGCAATGGCTACACACGTTGGACTCCGACTTGCTTTCATAGATAGCTTTCTAAATTCACTTTAAACCATCTGAGAATTTTCAAAGTTTCCCTGCAGATGACGTGGACCGGTGCTTTTTGGGATGAGAGCTGATATTGACTTCGGTAAGTCAATCAGTCACCGAGGATGACTTGATCTTTGTTTCAGTAATTCCAAATGACAGATCGCCCGACTGGCTATGTTGTCATAGTTTATCATCTCTGTCATGCAGACCTTACCAGCGAGCACTACAATTCACAACACGGATAAGGTACTTCTTGAAATGACACCTTTCAAGTGGTCTGACTAGTGGAAAACGTTTGCGGCTCCCTGCGGGTGTGGTTGATCCAGCTACTTTCTTTGACACTTTATATCACACTAAGAGGTCACTTCAGCTCCACACTTTTGGCCTTTTTACATGGTGGTTGTGAGATGTTATTCTAACATTTTTGTGGTTTTTTAGCGCCAACTTGTTCTTTACTATTCTTTCACCACAGCTTACCTAACCATGGCAAAACCTTATCGCCGAGTTAAGCAAACATATGGTAAGTAATGATGATATCATCACACCAGCGTGTTCTACCTAAGCTTTACTGCTACGCAACGGTATGTGACCCGGGACATCAACAGCACACCCAAACCTTGACAGAAATGGAGACTCAAACTCGGAGCACGGCAACTGCCAGTTGGGTACCTAAACTACAGTACTACAAACGTGTTTGTTGGATCTTTATTCTTTCTCAACTGCTTTGTTTTTATCATTTGTGAACGGCTTTCCATGGCACTTGTATTGTTCGCATCGTAAGCGAAAGATCCCATCATGCGCATCCCGATGGTTACGCGCTGACCGAGAACTTCTAGTTATCTGTATCCTTAGTGGACATTACATGCCGTTGACAGTCCAGTTCCTCGGGACACTCACTCGATGCGCTAACAATTAAACTGCTAAATTGTTGACTCCCCAAATATTAATCGAGGAGCTCATTGGGCTGATCTGACGAGCACCCCTTACAGCTTCTATGCATAATTCATCTTTGGTAGCATCTGTCCTCGAGTTTGTATCGAGGTACATGGCACTCACCGAGTGGCGGATTGTCCTGAACTCAAATCGACCACTTCACTACTAGCCATAGATGGCGTGCATCTGTTGTTAGTCGAGCTGGAGCGCTTGACTTGATTCCGTCTTTGATATTGTCCACCTCCACAACCCAGACTGGTTGCAGTTTTTCTGGCAATTACTCACTAGATCTACTCGCATCCTACAAAGTAACAATCGTGGTCACTGACGAACGAGGTGGATGAGCCCCTTGGGGAGGGTGAATTTCCTCCACTACACTGTACAAGAGGCACACGAGACCTCATTTTGAGGAGTCCAAATAGTTGGCAAATTTCTGAAGTTTTAGTAGGTGCATTTGAAACCTTGTCACCGGTATTACAATGTCCACCACCCCCTAACATCGTCTGAGTAGCAGTCTCAAAGGTGACCGGTAGTATTGGCAGATGACGACGACCCATGAGATAGTGAAAACCATCCGGTGCACAGTTCTAAACGAGGCTATATGCGAAAGACAATTGTTTGGAAAGTAACTAATTCGCGGTCACTGACTAGAATACTAGACCGAGCACTTTGATGAGCAGTTTAGCTGGCTCATTGTATCCGAGTCATTAGTTGGATCGCCTTAACACACCCAAGTTACTGAAGCCACCGTCCCACTATGAATGATATGTGACACGAGGTGATGCCATTAACGCGAAGCAAAGTGCCTGTCACAACACCCCCGACGGTTTCCCAAAAGGGTTGGCGACGCGGTTTGCCCCGACGATGCAGTGCTCCTGATACGTAGTCGACCATTATCCTTTGAATCTTTATGAATGACCGACAAGCATATTCCTGTAATTATCAAGCCACTAGTTTCATCTTCATTACCACAAAATCACTCGCATGCATCATGTCCCGGCGGGCCACTGACCTTCGTGGGAGTAGGTTCCGGACAGGTCAGGATTGTTTCTCCCCTAGAAGGAGTACTGGCCACACTTTTACTCTATTCCCGGCGCTTCAACATCATAATACAGATTTGATAGTCTTCTTTGGCTCAATAGCTACTTTCGATTATGTTGATCACACCTGATGTGGCGGTGCCAATATCTAAAGCGTGCGATATGCTCTCAATATGTCGAAAATCGGGGTCGCGTAATGCTCTTAAGAAAACTGCTCCGTTTTCTCTTAGATATATGGGACGCTGCATCCCTGCGTCTCTCTTTGACTGTTTTTTTCCGTTGATATGCACTCATCATCCTCTGTTTCAGTTATCATAGCTGATCTACTGAAGTCTTATAGGAAATTGCTTTCCTGATAGACGTTAACATGTCTTTTACATTCACTTTATATCGTGATCGTTAATGAAACGGTCTTCAACCGACTACCAGAATCCTCCTATCCCATTGCTTTCAATGCGTCACCGGGCATCTCCGGCTTAACGCAGTTTATTTCGAATGACACCGCCCCATCATCTTTTCGGATCCCTTCCCTCACATCGTCAGGTCTGACATTCACGATATTTTCGACAAAACAACGTTGAACCATTCAAATCGGGTCATTGGAGAAGCAGTAAACGAAATGTAGAACCCATCCCGAATCGCACTGCGAAGGTACTATCACAGCGAGTCGTGCGCCATGGTCCACCGGTGGCTTTGCAGTTGCTAGAACCTGGTTAAAGCCCTGTACTTGTTCTGTCTTTTTTGACAGGGTCCGCAACGTTAGGTATCCGCAGTTTCGTAATGGGTTCTCTTGAGCACGTCCTGTCGGTTCCATGGATATTAATAACAAGCGTTCCCATAGCTCACTCCACGAATCTCTGCTAGTTCACGTAGTTTGTTTAATTGTGAGTTGGTTTGTTCCTACAGTGATTACAAAAATTCCTCGCGGTTTCACTACTTTCGGCCGCTTATTATTACAACCGGTATTTATATCTAAGCGCCTTACTATTTGGGTATTAGTAGCTTACGGTTGTCGTTGCTTGCTTAGTGCATCATCATCACCATTCTACACGTTGGCTGGAGGTGATGAGTACCTCAAATGCTGTGCCGCATTATAATACAGGCAGAGACCCGCCCGCAAGAATCGAGCTCTGTGCTCACTTTCTGATTCCCTTCAGGTGACACCAGCAGCACTTTCTCATTGCGCCTATCCGGTAATGATGCAGCTTCGAGTACCGGCCAAGCCGGTGTTGATATTGCCCTGAGTCCCCGGGCTGAACCCGCTCTGGTTGATTGTACCCCAATCAAAGCTA